CCCCTCCCTAGTACAGGAACTTCCACATTCTTTGTGGTCACTGACATTGGTGCCATTCAAACAAATAAGATTTCAGAGTTCAGATTCCATATTTGCATTTAAAAGTAGGTCAGATGTGAAACATTCTCTAAATTTCTTCTAATAAACAACATATTTCATTGCTTATGAATTTAGTGTTACTCAATTTCTCAGAACATAGATAAAACACAATCAGATTCTTCATAAGAATGGAACATAAATGTCACTAACACAGAACCTGATGAAATCATTATCATCTACCAAAACTCCATGAATCCAGCCTACACTGTTCACAGTTTGTTTTTTCAATTTCTGGTCTTCTGGATTCCAATCTAAATGTCCCACAGAATTTGCTTACAGAATTCTAGGGTCTCACATTATCATATGTCCAAATTTTTCCAAATTTCTTTTTAAAAGATCATTAGACAAAGATTTATGTACCTTAAAGAGAGGCTATTAAGTAAAAAAGCCACTTATCATTAATTTCCTATGTTGGCTACTATTCTCATTATCATAACCTTACAGCCTACAAAAAGTCAACTTAGAAGAGGAAGTATTTACTTGTAGAGGCATTTCCAAAGAATATTTACCTTTTAGTTCCACAATATAAAAGGAATAGCTATTAAGGCTCTCACCAACATGAGTATTCTCATGGATTCAATGACATGATGGACCTCAAGAGCTCAAAATATGCTCCAACAAAAACCGTTCCTCCTATAACTTCCTTTTTTGTCGGGCACTAACCTAATGATGACACAAGTAAGTAGTGAGCGGATCTTGTTTTTAAATAACAGAGACTTATCAATATTGTCTTTTATTGTGTTTAGGTAACTGTATAACCATCATTCTAAGAGAGTATTTGAGAAGTGTCTATGCAGCATCTTTGGCTGTAGTAAGTACTGATATTGGTGAGTGTTTTCCTGTCCTAGGCTGAATGGGTTGTGCACTTCTATTGTAAGCTACTATTCAACTTTCTAACACTACTAGTCTTAGTAAGGCTTAACCAATTCTGGATATGTGAAAATTGTCATTTTCTACAGGTTATGTAGCATGGAGTCACCATATTGAGTCCAGGAAGTTTCCTTCACAAATGTAATATAAGAGATAGGATGCCAAACTGAAAGTTTACGGGATTGCTGGGTCACACCAGGAGCCTGAGGTAGAACATAATGCAATTTAAAATTTTTCAGAGGAGAACACTTGGAATATTTGTTGCTCAAAGATAAGAATATACACAGTGATGATGCCCATGAGTACGGGGTGATTATTACAGCAATGATTAGAGTCTGTGCTTGTTCAGTGGTACTTATTTCTCCAATAATGCTTCATTTTTCTCCTAGATTAGTAATGATTTGAACAGCATTTTTTTTTACATTTTTTTATCGAGAAAAAGAAAAAAAAAAGTTTCCGCCTCCTCCCAGCCTCCCATTTCCCTCCCCCTCCTCCCACCCTTCTCCCTCTCCCCCCACTCCCATCCCCCTCCCTCTCCAGTCCAAAGAGCAGTCAGGGTTCCCTGCCCTGTGGAAAGTCCACGGTTATCTGCTATTGATCTTCAATAAAAAACAATTTCTGTATCCACAGGAAATGGAAGAGTTTGCACAGAGTTCTGGCAAACAGGGTGTCGTAATATTTTCTCTGGGATCAATTATCACAAAATAAGAAAGGGCCAACAAAATTGCATCAGCCCTTGCACAGATTCCACAAAAGGTAAAATGAGGTCCTTAGTTCAGTCAAGTCTGGAAAGGGGTGACAATGGAAGGTTTCTGTATGTAAAATCAAGTATTATGATTGCCCTTAGTCAGGTTAGAAACAAAGATAAAGATGAAGAGAGTCAGCTGGACCTTTCCTGGTATCAATCCTATTTCTTCTGGATTCTACTACATTCTACAGATGTGTTTTGGATGACAATAACCATGACCTAAACATCGTGATTACAGGGAAGCGTGGTGAGTGAGTGCAATCTAAACTTCTCTAGTCTGATGATACTGGGAGCAAAACTTCCCAAAAATAACTAAATTCTCAGTGGTCACTTAAACCTTTTCCTTGAGCCTTGTTTGAATCCAGATATTCAGGGAAAATGAAAGTTTATTTAAAACTTTGTTAGCAGATATAAAAAAAACATCTGTAGTATAGCATTAATAGTCTTCCAGGTCTGCAGTAGCATAGAGACTTTCTAATTTTCCCTCCCCTCTTCATGAGAATGCTGAACTAGGATTGCTTAGTTACCACTAAGAAGACGTCCCAGAGAATGGAAAAGAAACAGTTCACCATCTCAGTCCCTTTGGACCCTGTTCATTAGGGAAAATAAAAAAAGGAAGAGTGGGCCATTCTAGAATCTGCCAAACCTAAAACAGGACTATGTAAACGAGAAGGTGGAATGGTCCCTGTCCTTCTGGTGAACCACACACTGTAAAACATTGTCTATGGCACTTTGTCTCTAACCCAGAAGAGTAAAGTGTGTTTCATTTAGGAAGAAATGGAACTAAGAGATAATCCAGCAGAAATAGGATTGATACCAGGAAAGATCCAGCTGACTCTCTTCATAAGGTATATGAATATTATTTACCACATCTGAACTTTAACCTGGAGTATGTAGGAACTAGATTTTTGTAATAACTCATACTGGTTTTCCCTGAGATCCCGAAGAAAAGTTTAAATTTATTGTGGCAAACAGATATTGAACATGTAGGTGAAGCTCGCATTTAGAAGGGTGTTTTGGGATTTCAAAATAAGCACCATTTGTGTGGTCTGCCCGTGGAACTGCTTGGCATTTCAAAAAGTGCATTAACCCTGAAGTGTTTTGCCATCGATCATATGGGTCAGATGCAGCACCATTAGGGTATTGAATGCTTTTTACAGCTACTAGCACTTATGAGCAGCACAGCAGGTTCCTTTCCCGCATGAAAGGAATATCCAGAATAAGCGACAGTGATATGACTCATGTGATGAAGTGCTCTGCACTTCCTGTAATGCCTAAGTAAAACCGGTGCCTCAACCAACGATGAGTAATATTAGACTTATTTTTTCATATGTTAAAAAAATTATGTCAGTCGCTCTTTGTGGTTATTTTTGTGCTGGAGGTAAAATCTCCTCAATATGCAGAAGGGTACAAGCAAGCAAGGGGAATTTCATACCACCATCTAAGTCACTGGTATTTAGTGGACAAGTTAAACACATGGACTCTGTGAGGTTATGGCAAAGATAGGCTAGACAGAAACTCCATTCTCTGATTATCCATGGTGGAACCTTTTCCACAGAACTTGTAAATGGAGAAAAATTGTAAATTTGGAATATTTGTCAAAAATAAATATTGAATAATAAAAAACAAGTGTCAAACCCTATTAAAATAATAGGGCAAATGAATATAAGTAAGATCTGTGGTTTTTTTTAACTGACATGAATTTAATAATGGAAAATTGGAAGAATTGTAATAAATAAACATAAAGTTTAAATATTCTTTGCAGATGATTTATGAACATATAAACTTTTAAAAATATATTTATGTTTCATTAACTCTCTCATGTGTGCACATAACTGCACATAAAAATTCATGATGACATTCGACCTGATTAAATGTTTAGAAAAACATAGACGGTGTTCCCATACTCTGCATTATGTTTTTATGGTTCTTATAGTATAATATTTCTTTACCTGTTTTGCACACTGGGGATTCAAATGGCATTTAGCTATGCATTGTCTAATTCCTATAATACTATATTTTAAGTTTTGAAATCCGATGCAAATTATTGACTAACTTCTAACAGGTGCTTTGGAAATTTAAGGACATGAAACCAGATACATTAGATCCCAATACAAGGATTTTCCAGAGTGTCCCCCAGAAGGACTTTCTGGGTAAGACTCTGGGAAACTGAAGCATGAGTAACAAGCTAAAGAGTGATAGGAAGCAAACTGATTTGTTTCATAAAAATCAAAAATAAAACCGGTTTTTAAATACTTTTTTCTTGAAAGAGAATGAAATGTGAGCTGGCGTTGTACGTTTGTATTCCAGGAACAGAATGTGCATGGTAAATGAAGCTGCCTATTATAGGCATTGTGTTCTTACCTTGGCTTTTACAGATTCAATTTTATACATGTTCCTTTTTTTAAAGCAGGAATATTTCAAAAACAACAAAGAAACATTAATGATCAATGACATATTGCCCTTCACAAAAAGTTCACACTGTTTATCATACAACAATACAGAACACTGTTATTCTTTTTTCATTACTGAATTTCTCTGTAGCTGTGAAGCTAGTCCTGGAAGTAGCTCTTGTGGACCAGGCTGCTCTTAAACTCACAGAGATCTGCCTGTCTCTGCCTCCTGACTGCAGGGATTAAAGGTGTGCGCCACCACCTCCCATCTACAATACAGCACTATGTTTGCCATGGTATTCCTGGATCAATACAGCACTCTGTCATGGTTGTCCTGAATGCCCTAAAAAGACTTAGGTCAGACTTGGTACATGTGTTATTAATCATTTTCCTTTGTGAAATACTTCATTTTTGAGGAAACCATTCACAGGTACTATATTTTCATCATTTTCAGGCTCATTTCTGCTTCCATTAACTCCTGCTTTGCCCTCTACCATATCACCATCCCACTGAGTCCTATTTTTGCACTCCAATCTTGACAGCCATTGATTGTTCACAGTTTTCCCTGTAGCAATAGGACTTTGTGAAATTTTCCCCATCTATGTTGGCAAGTCAAATGGTACTGTCATTACACAGGTCTTAATTAGGCAACCACACTCGTGATAGTTCATGGATGCAATATCCCTATAATACATACAT